TTTTTTAGGTTAATATCTATTTTCCATATATCATATAGAAGCATATATACAGACCATTAAGACATACATTAGTATTTTTTTTGTGTTTTATATTACACGTATATACGTTATATACAAATTATTGTATTTGTTTATCAAATATTACTAGGACTATGATGGTTAATTATTCTAGGTATTAATCACTTATGTTTACATATATCATATAACACACATTTGGGTTTGATAACTTAGTATTAAATGAGGCTGGCTACATAAGGGCAATGTAGACACTTAGACATCCAAATATCATTTACCACATCGAGTTTGGTATTTATCGGTTCTGTACACATACAATGATATAGAAGCAATATATAAGGACCCATATATGGACCAGGACAGATATTATAGATGGACATGAAGACGGAGTAAATTTATAAATAGGTATACAGACATTGATATATGAGTACAGAGAGATAGAGAGATAGAATATATATATAGATAGAGATAGATATATAACATACACATATATAAGTACATTATAAATACAGATACGACTTATTGTAAATACATTTTCATACATAACATAACTACAATGTGCATACAGACGTAATGAATACATATACAGACATATAAATAGATATATATATATCAGACATATAAATAGATATATATTATACAGAATATAATAGATATATATATACAGACATATAAATAGATATATATATTAAAGACATAATGTAAAACATATTCATACCTACATAAATACATCGTGATACAGAACGTATATGAAACATATACAGACATATCATATAAATAGATATATGTTACAGACATATAAACTAGATATATGTATACAGACTATAAATAGATAGTATATATTACAGACATATAAATAGATAAGAATAGTACAGACAGATAAATAATATATATATACAGACATATAAATAGATATATATATTCTATTACAGACATTATATAAATAGATCTATTATATATATATATTATATAGATATATTATTATATAACAGACATATATAAATACCATTCTACACATATGTATGGATATACACCACGCGTTCAGGCGGATAATCGGAGGTAGTATTATTATGGAGTAGGAGTATGAGGATTAGGATTGATTATTAGTAGTCTGATAGGCAGGGAGTAGTATTAGTGAGTGGTAGTATTATTATAGTATCATGAGCAGTATCTGATCATTATTATCAGTATTTATTATTATTATTATTATTATGATTAGTATTATTATTATGATTATTATCATTATTATCATTATTACATATTATAATTAGTATGGTTACTTATGATATTCTTATTATTATTCATTATTAGTATTATTATCATCATCTATTACATTCAGTCACGAAACAGAAGAAAAGGGAAGGCAGAAGGGATACTGGTTGGTGTGAGTTTATAGGAACATGTGAGGAGAGCGCGTTTATGTTGACCTAGCAAACATATTGATAAAACCAAACGCTAAAATCTAAAATTTAACATGAAAATAACAGGGAAACTAGTAAAATGATTATTAACTTGAATTAAAAAATAATTAAACTTTTCTTAAAGGAACTATAGTAAAACTCATGAAATCACGTCAAATTCAAGAAATATAAGAATTAATATCATTAGAGAGTCATTAAAAAGCCTTGGATATAGATTGATTTACTTTTCGGCAATCAAGGATAGAATAGCATAAAATCATAAATACTCGTAAAATATAAAAATCAGAGCAATTCCATTCCATGTCGTGTTTGCGTATTTGAGGAGCAGTGGAGAGGAGTGTGGGTGCCCAAAATACAAAAAAAAAAATAGATACATTTATTTAAAAATATAATATGATACAGCAGCGGTCCGTGGCAACCACCGTTTTCGGGAATTCCTCCTCACTCGCGGGATATTAAAACGCTCATGCCCTGGGCTTACGGCGAAGTGAAGTGATTATGAAGTGAAAGGCGACGGAAGAGTTCACGTTGCCATATGAAGGAGATGCCAAGGAGAGCCTCTTGGCATGCATATATATACACACACCTATATATTACACACACTATATATACACACACATATATATATACACATCCAGTATATATACACACACATATATATACAACACACCCCAAAACAAAATACTATATACACACACCACAACACATATATATACACCAACACCTTTATATCACACACCATTATCAGACACACACATACTATATACCACCACATATTAACACACACAATATATAACACACACATAATTACAAACACCATATAAACACAACACCTATATAAACACCCACATATATTACCCCCCCAAAACACACATAGATATCAACACAACATATAATACACACCATATATATACACACCACATATCATAATATTACATGCATACATATGTACATGTCATCATATGCATACATATGTACATGCAGCTGCATACTATATACAACTCAGGCCTACTAATATTTAACCTCAATCGGAACTCATGAACTCGAGGTTGCAAACAACTCGTGTCGGAGACCGCCGCGGCGTGGCGACATTTTTTGCCCTTATATTCGTTAAAGACCTATGCACAGAGACTCTTCTGCACTTGCCAAAGAATCTCCTTTGTCATCTTCCTTCATATGCACGTGAACCTTCCGTCGCCTTCACTTATCGCGAAAGCCCCAGGCAATAATCTTTTTTAATCCCGCTGACGTGAGGAGGATGCCCTAAAACGTGGTTGCCCAGCGGAACCTGCTGCTATGTACCTCATAATGTATTATTTCTTTTAAATAAAATGTTCTATTTCCTTTTGTATTTTTAGGTTGGGCACCACTCTCTCTACCTCAAATACCCAGAAACACTACATTTAATGGAATTGCTGCTGATTTTTATATTTTACCCGTAAGTATTGTATGATTTTTTATTGGCTAATTCAATCCTTAGATATGCCCGAAAATTCAATCAATCATAGGTATCCAGGGCTTTTTAATGACTCTCTAATGATATTAATTCTTATATTTTTCTTGAATTTTGAACGTGATTTCATGAGAATTTTACAATAGTTCCTTTAAGAAAAAGTTTAATTATTTTTTTTTTAATTCAAGTTAATAATCATTTTTACTATTTCCCTGTTTATTTTTCATGTTAAATTTTAGATTTTTAGCGTTTTTGTTTTATCAATATTTTGCTAGGTCAACATACGACGACTCCTCCTCACATTGTTCCTATACACTCACAACCAACCATATCTGCCTTCCCCGTTTCTCTCTGTTTCGTGCTACTGCGAATTTAATAGATGATGATACATAATAATAATCATGCTAATAATAATTCATACTCAATCATAACAATACTAATCGATAATACTATAATACTAAATAATAATGAATAATAATAATATCATAATAATAATAATAAATAATAAATAATATATATATCATAATAATAATAATCATGATAAAAGAATTGCTATGCTAATGATCCTGATAATACATCTTCATCCCCATACTCCTCATCTACTGCTCCATCCTCATCCTCCCTAATACTCATCCCCGAACTACCCTCCATCCCCCTCCTCCTACTCCTCCTATAATGAGCTAACGCGTGGTGTATATCCCATCTCCATATGTGTGGAGATGTATTTATATCTGTCTGTTGATATCCTCTATATATCTATTCTATATGTCTGTATATATATCTCTATTTATCTGTCTGTTATATATATATATATCTATTATATGAATCTAGTTATACATATATCTGATTTTATATGTTCTGTCTACATAACTATTTATATGTCCTGTATATTATTCATATACGTCTGTATGCACGAAATGTATTTTATGTATGTATGAATATGTATTACATATATGTCTGTATATATATATCTATTTATATGTCGTATCCATATACTATTATTTCTGTATCTGTATTACATATACTCTGTATGCACGAATCTGTATTATGTATGTATGAATATGTATTTACAATATATGTCCTTATATTTATTTATTATGTACTTAATATTTGTCTCTACTATATATCTATTATCATATAAATAATATTATTATATATATATACTATCTGTATATAAATCAATTAGTATGTTTTCTACCATATTTATAAATGTGTATAAGACGTAATACATGTACATATATACATATCTGTATGTAATATATAGGGTCTATATATATAGGCTTCTATATTCATTGTTGTGTACCGAAACCGTCTAAATACCAACATCGAATGGGTAAATGGATATTTGGATAGGGAAAAGTAACTGTGGTG